CAAAGCTTCAGTGGAAACCCAGGGCGCAGGCAGCAGAAGGGACCAAGGCTCTCCCTAGCCTCGGGCGCCCCCTGGCGGCAGGGACGCGCAGCGCCGGCCGGGGAATGGAATTTCACTGAGGGCCAATGCGCAGTCCCCGGAGCACGCTGACAGCGCACGTGTCAGGAAAAGTACCAAGGGTCTCCACCTTGAGAGCGCGCGAGGTCCCCTCTGTCCAGGGAAGCCAATGTGAATAGAAATGGGCAAAATTATGATTCTTTTTCTAATCAATTAACGCAGAATGGTCCTTTCCAATGAACCTATGAGAAGTGAGCAGCCTTACCCTAATGGCAGCCCTTGGTCAGCCTAATGCGGAATTTGCTTCCAGAGAGATGCACTGACACCATGGGGCCCCTTTACAAATTAAGGGACCAACGGCGAAATTGATGCATGCCCAGGAAATGAGGGTCCTCAACCTTGGCACCATGGACACTTTGGGTGGGGTAAGTCTGACAGGAGAGATGCCCTGGGCTCTGCAGGGTGTCCAGTGGCACCATGGACCTCCACCCACCAGTGGCTAGTGGCACCCTTCCTCACCTCCCAACAAACTCAGGTGTCTATGGATTTCATATGAGCGACAAAATCACCCCTGGCTGAGGTCACTGGGTTAGGTTAACAAAGCACGGTCCTCCTTGCTTCTTATGTACCAGCCTCCAAACCTCCTTTGCCCAAAAAGAAAGTGACCACATTCTTAAACCTTTCATCCCTTGATTTAAAAATAAAGACTTCATCGTCATCAAGCGCTGTGTGGGTAAATACTATCTGATCTCTGTTTTTCTCTTTTCCCATTTTACACGAACCACTCTGAATTTCTGACATATCTGGGAAGGACCAGGGTAACACCATGCATTGATTTGGGTTCCTTCCCCGCCCCCCGCCCCCGAATTTGAAATGTAACTGGGAAAACCAAGTTCTGGACCTGTTAATGCACCACAAGATAAACACACAGTGGGAGCTTTATAGAAAGTTCTTGTTCCATCACCAGAATTCATGATTCCATACAAATTAAAACGATCCCCAAAGGCAGGAAGTACACAAGCTTTATTGGGCAACAGCAATAGGCCACACTGGCACACAATGAATGGATCCGCTCGGAAACACATGTGTCCTCACCGAGCCGAGAATCCGAATCAACTGGATGGACCCTCCGTCAATTAAAGCATCTGCGCAGGGCTTGTCCTCCATCATGACGCTGTCCTGTCCTGGTGAGCACGGCAACGAGGGTGACACAGAGAGATCTAGGGAGGGACCCTGACCCGGACACGGCTGTGTTCACCCGGGATAACAAAGGGATCCATTGGCCATGATTTCATTTGCAAACACACCCCCCACCTTAACCACAAACACCACCTTCCCCACCCAGGCCAGCTCTGTCTACCGCGGCGCTCCGACCCCGCGGGAGGAGCTGCTGTAGTCGAGAGGCTCTGGGCTCCATGTTGAGGAGCGACCTCGGGTCCATTCCAATACACAGTTCATTGTTTCCCCAGGGGAAATGAACAGAATTAATGAAGATATTTTCAGGTACACATAAACAACAAAAAGCTTTACATTAAAAGGAAGGAGAAATAAAACGAGTTGTATTTACAAAGCTCCCGGTCTATTTTTAAAACAGGAACAGAGCTGGGAGCGATGGAGTTTTAACGCAATAAAAACCATACAGTCTTCAAAAAGCTTGAGATGACACCACAGACACACACACAATCTCAAACACACACAAGATTAAAGATAATAACGGCCGACGGGTGTTTGCTTTCAATAGAAGGGAGCAGGAGAATGTGCAGATCCGTATGAAGTTTTGGCAAAAGTTTAAAACGCTGCCCTGAAGGCATGTGGGCATGCCCCTCCCCCGGGCAAAAATAAGACCAAGTGGAAAAACAAAAGTCTGGAGGGGAAAAGGCATTAACACGTCAATTTCCAGTGAGCACAAAATTCAAATTACATCAGAAAGTACTGTCAGTACGACCTATAATTTCATCAGAGAATAAACTGAGGAAACCTTGGTAGATTTGGTAGATTAAATACGATGGTATTTAAGATGCGTGCCACACAGATTTCACTCAATGGGGAGCTCGCCTGGGGCTGGGTAGCATCCTGCCAGGGGTGGGAGCAACCAGCTCGGGAGCCTGGAGGCAGGCATTGGTCTCAATTTCAAGATGCTCCCTGGGACTTTCTCCAAGCAGCTCAAGTTAGCATCCCCGACTCTCCTAGCACCTTAGCCACACACGTGCAGAATTAATGACCAAATCAGCATCAAAACTGTCAGACTGGGTGTGGTGGCGCCTGCCTGTAATCCCAGCAGCTGGGGAGGCCGAGACAGGAGGATCATGAGTTCAAAGCCAGCCTCAGCAAAGGGAGGCGCTAAGCAACTCAGTGAGACCCTGTCTCTAAATAAAATATAAAATAGGGCTGGGGAGGTGGCTCAGCAGCCGAGTGCCCCTGAGTTCAATCTCTAGTACTGCCCCCCCCCCCAAAAAAAAAAACTGTCAGATGCAGAGGAACCAAACCATCCTGCTCACTCTACCCTCCACCCTCATCAGGAGATACGATCATAACAAAATCACAGTAGAAGCTCTCACAGGGGCAGAACCTGCTAGTGCTGTCCGTGGGCACAGGGAGCTGTGACTTCTACTTTAAGGAGGTGTTCAAGGGGTGGAGACTGTGCCCTAAGGCCTTCAGACCTCAAGTGTCCGATAAAGGTTCAATGGTGCTCTACAGAAATTCTTTCCAGGCCAATGAACCAAGAGAAAGGCCAACGGCATCCTGTGTTCAAGGCTGACAAACCTGGGAGACACTAACAAAATAGTTAAGTTCCTGGCTTCTGGTTTCCTTCGCTTCCTCCACCGCTGAGAACCCGGGCTCTGCTGGGGTTCTGTGTGATTCCTGAGGTCACGGCTGTGCCATGCCTGCCCTTGGGTCTCCTGGGCTGCCAGCGGCGCACATCCTTAGGTGCTCAGGGACCCCTGGTGGGTGACATCAGCAGGATGCCTTCTTGAGGGATGGTCCCATAGCATGGCGGCTTCCCTGGGGGGTTCAGTCCTTCTTGCCCACAGCTGCCCACACCCAAGTGCACGGAGAGACAGCAGAACAAGGGGCTCGCGGAGGAGCTGCCCAGCACCTTCAGCTTCCAGGCGTGGCCTCTGGCCTCCCGGGAGCCTCCTTCCTCCCGGGGGTCAGGTGTTCGCTCATTAGAAATTGGGAATTAAGAAAAAAAAAAAAATCAGAGGGACCAGCTTTATTCCCTGTGTGCTGGAAATACCTAGTTCTCCAGCGGGGTGCCAATGATCTACCTGCAGGAGCCGTCGCCTGCCTCTGGGAGTTACGCTGGTTCAGGCCTCAAACCTGCCATGGAGTTAAGATTCCGGGTTCATAGGATCAAAAACACTGAACGACACTTCCTCCTCCTCCACAGATGGAACCAGGGCCTTGCACCCACTAGGCAAGCACTCCACCAGGGAGCGACACCCCCAGCCCTATTTACTTTTTTGAGACAGGGTCTAAGGCTGACCTCAAACTTTCGATCTTTCTGCCTCAGCCTCCAGAGTCACTGGGATTACAGGTGCATGACCCCACGTGGGCCCCGCTCCTCCTCCACCTTTGACACCACACAGAATCACTCAGTGAACACACTAGACCTGCTCAAGCTTGCTGGGGCTTCTGGACAAAGACCCCTTCCCTAAGCAACCACTCGTGCAAGGCGAGACATCTTTTCTGAAGGACTTTCCCTGGCAGAAATGGCCGGCGAAGAGGGGAAATACTGCAAAATTACAGAATCTGAAAAAACAAACAGAAATGACATCAATAATCTGCAACTCACTCCCACCCTAGGAAGTTTTAAAGGGGCATCACAAAATACAAGGGCTTGTCAAGAGCACTCCAAAGCTCAGATCCTCGTGTCCCCAACTCTCGGAGGCAGGTTCCCTCAGGTAGGTGGCAGGCGTCAGCAAGCAGGCTGTGACTTCCATCCCCGAAGCACACACAGTTTAGTGTCGCACTGAAGCTCTGCAGGGTTTGCACACATAGAGAATTTGTCACAAATCCGAGACGACGACCACACTCAGCTCTTGCTGACCCACTGACTTAACCGTCCTGTAGTCAGAGCCCAAGAAGGCCTTGCTCTCCCCGCCACGTGGGACACTTGCCAACTACGGCTCCTCGCAGGCAGCAGCCGCTGCTTTATAAGAAACACACGGCGTGCGGCCATCCTGATGGGGGAAGTCTTGCCTACCGGCGGCCTTTCAGCGAGTTCCCTTGGAAATCTGCAGGCAGGGGAACTGATTCCAGATCCCAAGCCCGGGCCTCCTCCCACGGGGCTCCTGGCTTTGAAGGCTGCCACCGGGAATGGCGACACGGCAAGATGCCTCGCTTGCTCAGTCCGCCCACAATAATTCCTCCTAACAGGAAACAGGTTGCTGCAAAGAGCCCCGGGCCCTGACCTTTCCGCTCGGGGCCCAGAGGGTCTGAGTCACATCTGCCGCGCTGTCTGAAGAATTAGCCGAGTCTTATCACACTGTCGACACATTTAGGGGCTGTTCAGTGGCACGTTTCCTGCTAAAACAACTCTGCTGAAAACGTCAGGGGGTGTCCTCAGATGGCCACTGGCTTGGTAACTGTCACCAGCTCCTAACAAAGCAGGATCACACCTCTGGGATTCTTTTACGAGGTGGCAGGTGAAGTTAACTGGAGGCCGGGACCGCTGAGTTGGATCCAGGGTGATGGCTGGATTTAGGGCCCCCTCCCCTCCTCTCGGGTACCTTTCCTGATGCTCTGAGGCGGGGCCGCCTTAGGACGGGGAGGATTTCCAAATGCAATCCGGGTTCGGATAACTTTCACCAAACATCACTGTCTTTTTCTTCCAGACTCTAAGAGCTTCATGTTTTCCTGAAACTGCTTTGTAAGATGAGAAAGACTTAAGAGTGCACATGATTGGACTGTTTAAAAAAAAAAAAAAGCCTTCTACCACCTTCAACTAGACAGAAGCTTTATCACATGACAACAAAATTCAAGTCATAAGGAGCTTGCCCGGGGCCTGCAGAAGCCTCTCTGCGGAGCCACCCGGCTGCTATGTGTTCACGCTCACTCCCACAGGGCTACAGGGCCACAGGGCTCCCACAGGCACACTGGGGACCTCAGGACCCTCCCTCCTGATTCTTCAGCGTTGGGACTGGGTCCCGACACAGAGCACAGAGCCTGGCCACACCGAAACTGCACATGTTAGCGATGACTGCAAAATCCACAGGTGGCGGTGACACAAATGGAACTTGAACTCTGTCCACCAGGAAAGCCCAGAGGCCAGGTCCCCTCCACCGAGTGCCGAGCCTACGACGTGAGCTTCGAGTAGCTGGGAGGAGAGAACCGTCTTCGCAGGTACTTGAGGACATAGAGGGGGAGACAGCTGACCAGGGTGATGACAGACACCTTCCAGAGGAAGGACAAGGTGGCGATGAAGTACACATCTGCAAGCAACGGAAGGACAGCAGTGAGCATGTGGGAATGTTCCAGAAGGCCCGTGCAGTTCAGAAACAGCCACACCGCTGTCACAGGGAAGCAGTCTCCCATCACCAAGCCCCGTCCTCCACTGGCCCCTGAGGGTGCGCCCTGGGTTGGCAGCACACCCCACCCTCCCGCACCTCTGTCTCGTCCCGCTGTCTGTCCTCCCCTGTGGCTTCCTGATACTCAGGGAGGTGCTTTTTTTTTTTTTTTTCCAAATACTAGTAAAAGAAACTTCAGGGAAAACCATTCTTACAGTGTTATTTTGATTTGGAATCTGACAGGTGGCGTCTAAACCCAGCCCCTGGGGAGCCGAGCGACGTTGAGATGCAGGCTTCTGCTTCCTGCAGCTTTCTCTCAGCCCCGCGTGGTGGAGGGGGGCCACCAGGAGGACCTGTGGCACGGCGCCAGGTGGGCAGAGACGCCCCTGTCCAACCAGTCCTGTCCTCGGGCACTGATGGGGTACGTCCTCCCCTGCCGCAGGACACTAAACCCTGGATCTCAGGTTCTCTAGAGAGAAGAGGCTGCTCGAGGCCTCGTGAAGCAGCTGCCCGAGCAAACGACTTTCCCTCAGTGGGCACGGACAGACGCTGGGTCCAGGACCTAGGATCCTGCGCCCTCACCCAGCCCTGGTCCAGCCAAGCCGGGCTTCCTGTTCTGCCTCAGGCCTGAGCCCTGCTCACACAGTAGGTGCTCACGCAGGCCGTCCTGAAAGACCAGGGCAGGCAGGCAGCTCCCGGTCTTCTCTCCTGTTATCTTCACTGAAACCTTCAAGAGGAGCTCGGAAGCCGGCAGAAGGGCCCTGACCGAGGATGCCTCCAGGTTCAAGGGGATTTCTTCGTCCTTTTTCTTATTATTGTCCCCTAAGGAACCTTTGCAAGCTTTGCCCCTAATCTACCTCCCCATGACATTTTACCGCCACAGGCCTGCTGTCCATCTGTTACTGGACACACCTGCCCTTACACACACAGGGAGAGCTGCTCAACCCCACACCTTTGGTGGTGGGGCCACATGGCCCCATCCAGGATCTCTGGGGTTAAGGGGAGTCCAACTACCCAGCTGTGCACCCAGAATGCACAGAGGTGGCATCCTGGTGGCCCTGCAGGGGTGCCCCAGGACAGTGCTGATGGGCACCAGCTCAGCCTGGACTCTTTACTGCTGGTTGGCGGGGGGGGGGGTACTTTCCCATCTGGAAGTTTCCATGACACTTTTTATTTGGGCTCAGCTTGGGAGTCTGTCCGGGCCCTGGTGTGTCTGTCTGCAGCTCACATCTGCCATCTCTGCCACCCCCGCTTACAGTCTCACCTCCCTGTTCGTCATGGGTTTTGTGATATGAAGAGCCACCCCCTGTAAGCCCGCCCATCATGTCTGCCCATCTTGCTGGCGCAGGGCAGGTGCTCCCTGTGCATCTACCAAGGGGCCAGTGCCCACTACGGTGGCAGCCGTCACTCCTCGGGCTAGATCAGCGGAGGGGCCTCCCACCTCCAAAAATAACGTCTGGAAAGTCAGCACAGGCACGAAGGAGGAGAGGCCATCCCTACCACCATCAGGAGCCATCTCATAGCCTGCTCAAGAGTAGGACCTGGGTGCCTGACCCCCGCCCCCGCAGCGAGCTCTCAGGGCCAGCCCTCGGGGTTCACAGGGAAGGGGTTCCAACCAGGGGGGCGGGGGAGATGCTGAAATCCTCAGGTGCCTTGTGTGAAACGGCACAGTCTTTGCCTAGCACCCCACAAGCTCCCAGAGCCTTAAATGTTCTCTGATACCAACGCAAGGCGAACGCCGCGCAGACGGCTGTTACGCTGTATTGTTCAGGGAAGAACGGCCAGAAGAGAGGCCGGACATATTCAGTTAAGACCCAACTTTTTTTTTTTTTTTTTTGCTAAATGTTTGGGCTCTGAGGTTGGTTGAGTTCACGGATGTGCAACCCATGGATAAGGGGCTATTCTGCCCTTTCAGAATTAGAAGGACAAAGGATTCCTCTTCTAAGCTGGCTAGTTCTGTTTTTTCTTTTCTTTTTTGATACCAGGGACTGAACCCAGAGGCTTTGACCACTGAGTCACATGCCCACCCCTTTTTATTTTGAGACAAGTTCTCGCTAGGTTGCTTAGGGCCTCGCTAAGTTGCTGAGGCTAGCTTTACATATATTCTATGTATAAATTGTTGATGGACTTTTATTTTATTTACTTGTTTATATGCAGTGCTGAGAATCCAACCCAGTGCCTCACACATGCTACGCAAGGGCTCTACCACTGAGGTAGAGCCAGCCCCCTGAGGCTGGCTTTGAACTTGCAATCCTCCCACTTCGGCCTCCTGAGCCACTGGGATTACAGGCATGCACCAGAGTGCCCGGGTTTTTGTGGTTTTGGGAAACACACTTTTGGCTGATGAGCAACTCAGTCAAAGAGTGCTTACCCAGCGTGCACCAGACCCTGGATTGTACCCCAGCACCCTAAAAAATGAACAAAGTAAAAATACAAACGCATGCTCTACTCTGAGAACAACCCTGCACCCTCAAAGGCACCCACTGATTCACAGCCGCCACTTGGCCCAAGGCAGGCACTGGCAAGAACACGGGACAGCTAGCGAAGGGCCGCTGGACCAAGAGCCAGGAGGCAGTGCTGGGCGGTGCAGACAGACACCTGCGCACACTCGGGGGCTCACCGATGAATTCGTGTAAGAACACCAGGGAGGCGATGTAGCAGGCCAGGCTGAGCAACTCCGCCACGGTCATGAGCCAGTGCCAGGTCTGGATGGTGAGCGCCACCATGAGAAGCTCGGTGAGGATCAGCGACGTGAAGGAAATGGCCACGATGTGCACGAACTCCGACTCGAACAGCAGCAGCGCCCCGTACATGATGGTGCTCCCTGCAAACCGGAGGAATGTCCGTGCAGGTGCCCTGGGCCCGCCCTCGCAAGCCCCGCCCCTCGCACACGCCCCGCCCCTCCAGAGGCTCTGGCCCGGGACCCGGAGAACTGCTCCTTTACTCTGGGAGCAACTGCTCGCTAAACGAGGCTGCGAATGATGCTTCATGGAGGATTCAAATCTATAGTTTCCTATTTTCCTTTCTAACCTTATCAAATAGATAATCTGTAACTGTAGAGGCAGAAGGAGGAAAAGAGCGACAGAATGACTAGCTGGAGTTGATGGAAAAACAGAAGTTTAAACATATTTAAAATGAGGGCTGGGATGAGGCCCCGTGACAGAGCAGTCGCCCAGCACATGGGAGGCCCTGGGCTCTGTCCTCAGCATCGATACATGTACGTACGTACACACACACACACACACACACACGAACACACAGGTTTGTGTACACACACATGCACACTCTACAATTAATGATGGGAACAGCAGTCACAAAAGGACAGCGGCTGCATGCAGCCACTGGCTAGAGGTATCTGTAGGACGTGGGTGCCAGCCACAGGGGAGGGGACACAGGGGGCTGCTGTTCAGTGGCGAAGGAGTGTCAGATTTGTAGGATGGAAAGTTCTGGAGATGGCGCCCAGCAGGGACATGCTCACCACCGACCCAGATGGTGGTCACGGTGGTGAAGGTTAATTAAATGTTTTCACCACCTATATGAGCACCAGTGACCCAGGGCACAGGGGGGAAGTGGAGAGAACCCCACGCCCCGCCAAGGAAGGGCAGGAAGCATGGGGGTGAGCAGTGGCAGCCTCTCCAGTGCCCAAGGGGCAGGCTGATTGGGACCTAGTCCAAGACACTGAGAGTGTCACTCAGAGGAGACAGCCAGCAACTCTGACACCCCAACTCTCTAGTGACTGCCTTTATGAACAGGCCTGAGGGTGGCGAGGGCAGAACAGAGGACCGCTCATTACTGACAACTTTCACGCGCACTTTGTATTTTTTAACCCACTACAGGGACCACCCTGTGGCGCGTTCTTCCTCCTTCTTCTCTTTCTGCCGTGCTGAAGACTGAACCCTGGGCCTCACACGGGCTGGGACAGTGCTCCACCACTGGGCCAAACCCCAGCCCGTTTTATAATTTTTTTTTTTTTAAAGATAGGGTCTCACTAAAGTTGCCAAAGCTGGCCTTGAACTTGAGATCCTCCTGCCTCAGCCTCCTGAGTAGCTGGAAATGCATGCCTGCGCCTCTGTACCTGGTTTGGTAAACATCTTTAAAACATTTTTTAAACACGTCAATGACAACTGAACCCTCTGCCAACAAGCTCAGTGGCCTCTACACTTTCTGATCACGCCACCCACAGTGAAAAATCACGTACACGTGCTTATTTGTGGATTCTACGTGTCCCTGTCCAGACAGAAAGGCCAGGAGCACTGTACAAATACATCATGTGTGTCAGCAAACACACGAAAGCTGGACGTCCCGGATTTGGGAGCACTCTGTGTTTGGGACGTACAAATCGACTACCCTCTGACTTCACCACCACCCTGGGTGGTCAGGGCAGGAGTCCTCCACCCACCCAGCAGGACCCCGCCTCACTGCCACCTGCCCCAGTCCACCTCAGGTCTGGCTTTTCACTCCCTGTGCCACAGGAGGGAGAAGGACCCCTGCGGTGACCTTCAGAGCCCAAGGCCGCGGCAGATCCTTACCTTGATAGATGCTAATCAGGACCCATATTAAGAAGGTCTTGTAGGACAGCGGTCGCCCCTAAATGAGAGACAGAGAGGTCAGGGCAGGCTACTGCCACCCAGGGCCCCACGGGCCTTCCGGTCACTCTTCCTCTACCCACACGAGGCCTCCTCCCCGCTTCCACCCAAGAGGCCAGTGCACAGCTGAACCCTGAGCGATGGCCTCTCTGACGAGGAACCGACCGTAGGTCTGGATAAGTCTTTGAGGAAACGCCTCTGAAGGCCAGCCGAGGAGACCTCACACAGCCACACCACGCTCACTACGTGTGGCTTCTGGACGCGTGTGGAGGGCACTTCTAGGGGCAGATGCAATTTGCAGCTCAACATGGAACCCCGGGGGCCTCTTAGGTCAGCAGCTCTTTCCAGTCTGCCACCTCATACTCCTTACAGGGCACTCGTCACCGCCCTCAGAATAAGGTCCAAACTCCCGCGTCTTGTCCCCAGAGCAGGAGGGCACGGGATCAACGGTGTCCCAGCCAGACACGGGGGTCAGCGTGGAGGAGAAGCAGCAGGGAGGGAAGATGGAGAAGAGGGGGAAGGAGAGGATGGGTGACCGGGAGGACACGGGGGGGGGGTGGTGGTGACCTGTCCCACCTTGAGGAGGTCCTTGTAGAGCTCGGGGTAGAGCATGGCCACCTCTGACTTGACGTCCTTGTCCAGGACCAGAGAAAAGACGGGGAACATGGTGTAAATCGTGGAGTACCTGGGGAGCAGACGGCCACGGGTGAGACCGGCTAGCAGGACCTGCCCGGCCCAGCTGTCCCTCCGCACCTGCGCACTGGGCGCCTACCACGCGTGAGGCCCGGCTTGGAGCCCTGGAGGCTCGGGATGTAAACAGACAAGACACCTGCTCCAGGCTTTCGGGCTGGTCTCTGGGTCAGTAGCAAATAAACTAAAGTAACCAAGCCCAGAGGAGGAGACCCTAATGGGGAAGAGGGAGTGAGGCCTGCGTGTGCACATGTGTGTGGGGGGGTGCAATCACCGAGGGCGGCTGAGGAATGGGACATCTGAGTCCACACCCACAGGAACAGCCATGCCAGCATCTGGAGGAAGAGCCTCCCTGGTACAAGGCCAGCCAGTGCAAAGGCCCTGAGGCAGGGGGGTGGCTGTCAGGAACCAGTGAGGAGAGGGCGGTGAGGGAAGCTGGGGCGGGTCACAGGCAGTCACATGGAGCACGGCTCAGGGAACCCCTGACTCCACTCTGGCTAGTTGTTCATAGTCTTTCAGGAACCAGCAAAGGACACTCTACCTTTCCAATCAGAAGCAGGTAGAATCCAGTGTCTGCTCTCAGGCTGAAGCAACCAGCAAAACCGAGTAAGTCAGCAGACTGTGCCAGACACCCCAGGGCTGCTCCCCTGCTGAGCCTGCCTTCCTGGGGCCACCAGTCCACAGTGGCCGGGGGACCAGAGGGTCTCTACACAACGCTGCTTCTCCCTCCCCCTCCGTGGCATCTTAGGGAAGTTTCATTAAAGAAAAGGAGACGTGGCATGGATCCTTACCCGATGATGAGGAATCCTTGATAGAGAGGGACGGAGGCAAAGTAGAACACAGAGGAGAAGACCGCCTGCGCCAGGGAGAAAGAGGATGTCACCAAGGGCCACAGCAAGGGTCCCCGTGTTCACCTAATAAAACACCCGCCCCTGCACAGCCACGGCACACGGAGCCGAGGTTACGCGTACTTCGTGTGTGCGAGCTCATGTGATGCTGCTAACATTATCCCCATTCTACAGGTGAGGAAGGCGAGGCCCAGAGAGGGTGAGTGGCTTGCTCAAAACCACACAGCTCCTCTATGCCAAAGCCAGGGGTCAGACTGGTTCACCCAGCTCCAGCATCATGCTCAGCCCCTCTGAGACTGTGAAGCTCCAAGAGCCAGGAAGGCTTTGCACACGATCCCAGCACATCTCCAGAGCCACCCACAAGCTTGAGCCTAAAGCTGCCACAGTCCACAGAAAGGGACATGGAGGAGAAGAAGGGCCTGCAGGAAGGAGGTTGGCCCTGCCTCCAGGACCACACCCCCAACAGCTCAGAATGACCACGCCCATCACTGGCCCGCGCTTGGGAACTGTCAGGGATGAGCCCTGTGCGCTGCACCAGCCACCTTCAGGCTGGGTGGCGGGCCAGGCTTTGCTTCTCACGTGCCTCCTAGTGTTTGGGGAAACAGCACCTGGCAGGCGGCCTTTGCAATCAGATAAAGCCAAAAAGACACCTGTAAGCCCTGCTGAAGGCCACTTCCCGATCCAGGAGGTATTAGCTACCGTGGGAAGGAGGAGGGGACTGCATCGGGCTCACCGAGCCCCAGGGCCCCTGCACACCCACAGGGTGACTGCGGGATGGCAGAGTCCAGACTCATCTCCACTAGATAAAACCAGAGGGGGCCAGTGTCACCTAGAGGGTTCATGATAACCAAACACGGAGGGAAAGTGGACGGTCCTGGTAACCAGGCACCTCTAACCAGAGCAGCTCCCCAGCACCCGTAGCAGGCAGAGAGCCAAGGAGACCCACGCTCGCCGGCCACAGAGCTCAGGTCACAGTGCCACTGAGCGCTGTGACCATGGGACGCTGGGAGCTGCCCTCTGCCATTTTCAGTGCCTTGTCACTCAGGTGGGACTGTGACACAGGACGACTGTATGTCAAGAATCTCTGCTGACTTCACAAATCAACACGAGGCGCCCCTTCCTCTAGGAGGGGTGTGTGGACCCTGGTCTTCATCTGGACAAGAAGTAAAAACGCCGCATCCGTGTCTGTCTGAGACCGTTTCCAGGGGTCACTGCAGACGGGGTTAAAGGCCATCTGCAGCACAAGGGGCAGTGCCACACCCTGGAATTGTCCTTCTGAATGATACGGCAATGCCAGGCCCTGCTGGAGTCCCCAGAACCAGCTCATCCGTCTCCCAGTGGCTGACACCCAGCATTTCCCAGCTCAATGGTGAAGCAGCATAAATGAACAGGACAGATGTGGTCTGAGGAGCCGCAGCTGTTTAGCGCTTAGGACGTTTTGTTGGAAAGCACTTCAAGGCCTCACTCACCATGCAACAGACATTAAAAATGCAAAAGCCACCCCAACAGGCCTGGGTGAGGCCAAGGAGAGAGAGCGCCCTCCTGGGGACCGACTCACTCTGTGTGATTAGAAACCTCTCCTCCCCTGGGGAGGAGGTGGCCTCAGCTCTGGCTGTAAAGTGGGTGAGGCTGTGGCGAGGATGCAGGTGACCTGCACTGCAAGCACCCAGCTGACACCCAGGTCCAGGAGGCGCTCGGGAGAACCAGGCCACTCTCTGGGGTTCCTCCCGCTGTCCCTGCCTCTGCACCCCAAAAACCAGGATGTGAGCACTCACGCTGCGGTCTCCTCTGCGCCCATCACTGGGGCACACCAGGGAGAACTCACTCCTGTTGCCATACTGCCACCATGGTCACCTACCTGCTCCATGCCAAGCACCCACGGGCTCCACTGCTCATGCTCACGTACAGGCCCCACAGCAAGCAGGGCCATCGCCTCTCAAGAGGGGAGCAATGTGGAGTGACTTGCCCGAGAGCCACCAGCTAACATGCCACGTGGGGGATTTAAACTGGCCCAGGAACAGCACCAGGCCTACTCTGAGGCCCAGGCTTTATCCGTCATCAGCACACCTTCACCTGCACCTGGGCGCCAGGACCAGCTGCCCGCCCACTGCACGCTGTGGCCACGGGCACCTGCACAGAGGCGCCAGCTGCCCACCCACCTGCATGGTACTGATGCAGAGGCTCCTGTGGATGACGAACTGGCTGAGGGCGGCCGACCGTTTGTAGCTGTTGCGGCCGTGCACCATGAGCAGTCGGCCGAGGTGCTTGAACTGCGTGATGGAGAAGTCGGCCGCCAGCGAAGCCTGTTTTCCTTCCTGGAATCCAAGGAAATTGGGCACCGTCAGCAGCACAAGAGGTCAAGGCGGACACGTTTTTTTAATTGAAAAAATAAGACACGGTAAGGAGATCTTTGAAGAAATTCAATAAGGAGGTTCTTTGGTTTCGAGTTATATGCAGTTGGTGGTCCAAGTCTAAATCTGATTTAAAAGAGGAATTTCTTTAAATAAAGAACATACTCCATCACGGAGAGTTGTCACGTGGGGGTCAACTGAGCGTGCTCGGGAGCCCCGAGAGCTCCGTGCCCGAGATGCGCACAGAAGCAAAGAACCACTCGGGGCTCTGTGCTGTCCACCGGCTCCCTTCAGAGGCCAGCACGAGGGGGACACCTGTGCTGTCGACACTGAGGTGCAGCGGCCTGAACACAGCTCTCTGCGGGCAGACGTGGAAACAACACGTGGTGCAACACCTCGTGGAATCCCCTTATTTTGAAAGGTCCCTGTTGGGCACCAGAACGGGGCCGCCGGACACCCAGGCCCCGACAAACAGGGGACCAGCAATTTCTCTTCTGTGGTGCACAGGGACGGGAACAGATCAACCCGACCCACAGACACTGTGGCCCATTCTGCCACCGTCCCAAATGCTTCAGAAACAATGTCACAAAAAAAATACCCTCCTCCAAAAAGAGAGAGAGAGAGAAAAGTGTTTTACATTAGAGAAGATTAAAGAGACATGAAAACATGCTAATGAATGAAATTTGTGATCCCTGATTGGTTTCTGGATCTTTTTTTTTTTTTTTTTTTAAAGCTAGATGACATTTCAAGGACAACTGGGGAAATGCCACCGTGACTCTCCTACACTACGGTCACACTGGTCTTACATCTGGGGTGATAAGCTTCTCCTGCAGGCACAGGAGAACACCCTTGTTCTGGGAGCCATGCTGAAGCACTTAGGGGTGACACGAGATTACGTGTGCAATTTACTTTCAACTGATTCAGAGAGAAAGCGAGAACGTGGCAAGTGTTAACAACTGGTAAATCAAAGAGGAGGGCAGATGGGTGTTCATTGTTCTATTTCAAACTTTCGGAACGGATGACATTTTTCAAAATAAAAAAGAGGGTAAGACACGATGTCTGTACATACTCTTGATGTAGAAAGAAATCCAAGATGGAATGGATTTAAGCAAGATGCATAACAAAGTGCATGGTGTGTTTTTAATTTAAGATTATACACAAAAATAATATGTCTATACATACATGTGTAAAATATGTTTACGGTATATGCAACAGACATGTATGCACCCAACTGTACACCCATAGTAAAATGTTGGATGAAGACCCCATGTCGGTAGTTTGATGCAGTTTAAAAGATGCACTTTATTTTAAAATTATTTTAATTTTTCATCATAAGAACTTACTACTTTGATGCTCTTAAAAAAAAGGATTCAGAATATAATTTTTAACAGAAGGGAAAATGGTTTTTTGTGTTTATATAGGAACTTATAATTTTATTAAATTCAAAATGCTTCTTCAAACCTACATTCCAAGAAATTCACCAAGATTTCAAATTCAATATCTCACTCCAGAATCATCTGCCTTTCTAACTCAAATGATCAACCTCTGGCTGGGAACTGAAGAAACTGTGGGAAGGGAAAAATTCAGCCAGATCTTGAGGATGTGCAACAGGGCCCAGGGGAGCCGCGGGGCCCTGCTCGGGCCTCTGCACTTACTCAGACGGGGTTCCAACAAACCTGGAGACCAGTCTTCCCTCGGCCGTCTCAACGGATCACAGATGAGAGAGCAGGCATAAGAGGCAGGCAGGAAGGGAAAAGCAAAAATTGCTCTACAACAAACTAAAACTCACTGCCAAGGACTTTTAGTGAGGGTGGACGGCCACCACACTCCCTACGGCCCAGGAGACCAGCACAGGGCCTGAGGACCCTTGGATACTAGGATTGTGGAAAAACCACATCGTTTTTTGTTGCTGCTGTTGTCGATTTAGGTCTTGGCAAGCAAAAGGCCAACATCGTCTGTCCGTACATGTGCTACCGTGCTGAGGATGCCGGCTTCCAGGTGCTCCGAGGTGCCTTGGGCCCTGTGCTCCTTACCTAGACTCTCCACGGGACCAGGGCTGTGTCTCTGAGGGAAGGAAGAGGACGAGAAGACCCCAGAGAGGAGCGGGGCGGGGGCGTCTCACCTTCCCCTCCACCCCCACGCCGCAGTCGGACTCCTGAATCATGCTGACGTCATTGCCACCGTCCCCTGCAGGACACACAGAGCAGAGGGGAGGAGGAGAGGTGAAGAAGGGCAGGAGAGACCCCCTGGCAGGGCCACAGTACCAACGGCAGCACCTACAGGTGGTGGCCAGCACGGTGGCCCCACTTCCAAAAGGGACCTCTTCCCCTTTGGGCCCTCGTAAGCATTATTTGGGAGCCACTGCCACTGTTCCCGCTCTGCTGATGGACAGACCCAGCTGGGAGGGTGAAGGAAGCCACCTGCGGCACCTCTCAGTAATGACCAGCAGGGAGCGGAGCCAGACCGGCTCTGCAGAGTGGGGCCCTCCCTACCCTGGAACGCAGGGACCCTGGGCCAGGGCAGAGGAGGGGCGACTCCTGGGCTCGCCTACGTGCCCTCTCCAAAGGGAAACACCAAACACAACAACAAGGGCAAGCCAAAGCCCCTGGTGGGAACAATCATGCCCCGAGCAAAGTGGCCCAGGGAGCGCAGAAAAACCGGGTCTGTGTCCTGTTAGCCTCACGGAAAAGAAATCCAATACAGAGCGGGACAGGGCCAACAGGATGGGTCCCATCTGCCCAGGTGAGCTTACCTACTGCCCGGGTGATCTTACTTACTGCCCAGGTGAGTTTACCCACTGACCAGGTGAGCTTATCTACTGCCCAAGTGAGTTTATCCACTGCCCAGGTGAGCTTGCCCTCTGACCAGGGGAGCCTTCCCACTGCCCAGGTGAGCTTACCCACTGCCCAGGTGAGCTTTCCCTCTGCCCAGGTGAGCTTTCCCTCTGCCCAGGTGAGCTTACCTACTGCCCAGGTGAGCTTACCCACTGCCCAGGTGAGCTTACCTACGGCACAGGTGAGCTTCCCAGTGCGTTCCTGCAGCAGGCGCACGATCTGGGCCTTCTGGGTGGGGGCGCAGCGGCAGCAGACGACCGCTGGGCACTGGCAGGCCAGCTCCATGAACTCGTACTCATAATACTTGAGACAAACCTGGAGGGGGTGCAGGGAGCAGGTGGGTGGGTCAAGGGCACCCCCAGCCCACAGCTTAGCCCCTGCAGCTCTGCCCCACAGCTCCGGGCTCTCGAGGGTCCCCATGCCCACCTCCAGGGAGTCTCCAGAGATGACCAGGGCACAGTCGTGCTTCCTGCGGAAAGCGTTCAGCTCAAGATGGGCCTCTCCGCGGTTAGTCACCTGCACGGGACAGAGAGATGGAAAAGCCTCGCTCTCTGGAGGTGACAGAATAAGCAGCAGCTTCCTGGAACTAGGGTGAAGACAATAGCCAAGGCCCTTCCCCTCCTCTGCCACCAGACCCAGAGCCAGATGAAGTCCCGTCTGCCAGGCTTCGGAGAATAGCACAGCCACCATGGCCTTCCGCTCCCTGGGACCAGAGCTGCCTGCACTCGCGTCAGGGGCCTGGCAGTGTGCCGGGCGCCTTTCACTCACTGACACAGCGACTCTACGAGCTGCCCAATGGTAACAGCTCGGCGTCCTAACTCAGGGACAGCCAGGTGGGGTCCTTGGCCTGCCTAAGGTAGCAGCTATGTGCTGGAGGGCAGGTCCTCGAGGCCGGCGTCCAGCAGGGCTGGCAGCTGCTCTGCGAGGGACCGGATGTTAAGTGCTGCAGGCTTTGCAGACCCAACCTGACCCTCAAAAGCAGCCAAACACAACCTGTAAGCCGGTGGGCGTTTCTACATCCCAACAGGACAAAGCACATCGCAGCCACAGCCTGCGGGCCCTGATTCCAGAACACAGCTGGTTCCTGTGATTCTCGGTAGCGACATTCTACAAGGTTGCTGAGAACACTGAACTAGCAGATCCTCAAGGGCTCCTCTAGGGGCACAGGTCAGGATCCTCCACGGCTCTGCCCACACCACGCTGGTCAACACCCACGCCTGGTTTGTGTCTCTGTCTCGAGATCTCTAGGTCCCTTAACACTGCCCAGCACCGCAGCTCAGGGGACTGTACTTTCTCCTTAAGATGCGTCCTGACCCCTTGCTCAGGGTCACTGCCCAGCTCCAGGGCCCCGTGATGAGGGCCACTTGGACCAGCAAGCTGCCAACGAAAGCACAAAAATGCTAACACTCGACACTTAGCTGGGCTACGGGAAGGCCACTGATTACAGTCTGAGAAGTGACAGGAGAGGGACACTGTGCCTGCCCGGCCTCGGCTGGGAAGGTGCGTGTCGGCTTCTAGTTTTTGCCATGTGACACGTATCTGCAAATGGCCTCGAAAGGGCTGTAGATACTGGTTTTGTGGTCACAAATACAATCACGAGAGCAGAATGCACCAGTAACACGGGCTGACGTGTCCACTTGTGCACAACGCCACAGCTCCAACCCTCGCTGGATCCCCTGATGCTCCGTGTGCTGTGCACCAAAGGCAGAGACCCTAAAACATCCGAACCCCTCTGGTTACCTAGCTTCACAGCTCTGCTGCACCCTGCCCCAGGGGACCCTGTCCTCCTTCCTCCCAGAATCAAGAGAGCCACTGCACCCAGGGCTCCTGACGCCCTGGTTCAGTCGGGCACACACATGGAGGGCGACTTCTCAGGGGCCCACCCAATTCAGAGCTTCCTTCGAGTCTCCCTGGTGGCCCCAAATGCCTCCCAACAGGCCAAGGTCTAGCGGTTCTTTCTTTCCAGAGACCTTGGCCTTGGGAGGGTCAGGGGAACTTCCAGAAGCCCAGGCACATTCTGTGTATAGAGCCTGGCTGTGTCTCCTGGGGGCACAGCTGACGGGACCTCCAGTCCCAGGACAGGTCACAGTGTCACCCGGGGCTGCAGCCAGCTGCTCCTCAGCCCACCCGGAGGAATCCCTCCCCCTGCCCCGGTCACTTGGTAATCTACGCAAAGCAAGCAAACCAGGTGGCCAGCTGCTCCCTTCCCTCTTTAAGGGCCCAACTGAGTGACGCGGTCCCAGGACCAAGCACCCCCCCATGCGGCCCCAGCACAGAGGTGCTTCACCAGCCGGAAGACGTGGATGTCCTGGTTCCTGGTCACCAGATGTGCGTTCTTGGCTGTGCAGGTGGCGGTCTCCAGCTTGTCCCCCGTCAGCATCCACACCTGAAATCATGGCAGGAAGGGGTCCTGGGTGCCCGTGCTGGGAGCTCCCCAGAGCACTGAGCTGACGCTCCGACCCAGTCGCCTCCCCGACACCCCAGGAGTACCCCGTCCAGGGCTCTGGGCCTCAACAGCCAGGCTGGCAGCAAAGGCAGAGCAGGGAGGTTTAGAAAGACCATTGCCACAAGCTTCTAGAGACTCCCTGAGGCGGGTCTGTGACCTCGTAATCCCCCTGGGAATCCAAAGCAGCACGCAACCTATCCTAAAGACTATGATAGGGGTCACTTCTGGCTCCTACAGGAAACATTGATCTGTGACCTCACGGTCCTTCTCCATGCTCCAGACAGATGCCAGGTGCTTCCCCCTCTTTTATGAAATTGTTCTGCATTTCATTTCTGTGGGCCCAGAGAGGGCAGGTGCCCTGCCCAAAGCCACACAGTGAGCCCTTGTCCTAACCAGGCCCCAAGTCTGGGTCTTCAGAGTCCAGCTGGAACATGCTCCCTGCTCGGCCATCTCACCCCATTAACCCTCCCTATAGGGAGGGGTCTGGGAGTCAGGGGCCGGGAGGGCTAGGAAAAAAGATGCAGTAAATGTTCCCCGGGCCCGTGGCACCCGGCAGTGCTGCACCTGTTCAGTGATCTCTCCTCCACGAAAACCGTGAAGTGGGACCCAGAGGCACCGAGAGGTCAAGCCACCTGCCAAAGGTCACGAAAGTGGATGGGAAGCCAGGAGGGAACCCAGGCCACGGGGTCCCCCTGGAGTCAGCGGGGGACAGGGGATGCGTCTGGTTTCCCCAGGTGTGTGTCGGCCTCACTCAACGTTCCCAGGGGACCCTGGCTGGGCACCGGCATTCTGACTTCATGTAAGAGAACCAACTCCAGGAAGGAGCTGGGAGTTTGAGTCTGGGAAACTGGGATCATAGCTGTCCCACAGCTGACGCCCCTCACTGAGGACAGGAAGGCACTGGGAGACGTGCCCAGGACCCCAGCTCCAGCTGCAGTGCCGCTCCCCAGGGTGAGGACCTCCCGGCAGGGTTTCCGTTTCTGTCAAAGGCCCGAGCGGAAAATGCCCAGGCTCTAACACTGCTGGCCTGCGAAGGGTCACGCCCCAGACATGACCACCCAGCAGGCTGCTACGGCCACCCTCCCCCGGAACAACCAGAGAACTCAGATCCACGGGACGGGAACCAAACACCTGGCCCCGTGGACAGACAGTGCTGAGCAGGAGCGAGAGCCCAGGACAAGGTGGACACGAGCAGATCTCCAAAGCCCAGAGACAAGAGGGCACAGACCCCACCAGGGCCAGAGTTCAAACACCAAGGACAGCCGAGGCAGGTCCTCTGCCCCCCAAGCCACACACACAGGATCCTGTTGGCCATTTCCTTACAACACCAGGCCCCTGAGCCAGAGGCTCGTGATGGGACCTGATTTCCGGGGACACCTGCACGCACGCGAGGCCCCACTGGGCTGCGTGCTGGTTCCTATCTGGGTCTAACCTGCACTCCTCCCAGGGCCTGGCCTGAAGTAGCCACTTCTGCCAAACTCCAGCCCCAGGACGCAGCAGGGAGCCGCTCCCGAGTGCAGCCAGGGGACAGCATGTTCTCAGAGCTTCGAGCCTGTTAACTAAAAGGGCGTGGGCCATGTGGCGGTGTTCTGCCAACCACGGCATGTATGACGGTGGTCCCGTAGACCGCAAGGGAGCTGGAAAACCATGCCCTAGTGATGACATCACGGCACAACACTCCCCACGTCATAAGTGGTGACACTGATGTGAATAGACCCACGCTGCCCACACAGTTGCACGCAGCATGTGACGCGTGATCATGCAGACTTGCTCCTGGCTCTCCAGCCCCCCCTCCTGGGGCAGCATGCTCTCCTGCACGGGGTCAGCATAGAGGCAGGCTGCTGTGCACACTGCAGCCGGACACCTGTGCTCAGGCTCAGGATGGCACCAGTGACGGCCGACCATGAGGGTCTTGCAGTGCCCTCTGGATGTCTGCTGACTATCCATCACACAGGGGCACAGGGACAGGACTGGCCTCCCTGCGACAGGGCCTGGACCTCTGGCGCCCTCTACTGGCCCCTTGAGAATAAAGGCTGGACTTTCTCCCACCGGGAACAAGGTGCAATGTGAACAGGGCACTCTGCTGGCTCGGGGCTCTGTCAGGTGGTCAGTCACTGCCTCATTCATCCACCCGGACAGACGGCCACCAGCAGGCCAGTCGGCTGGAATGCCACGTGCAGCACGTGCCCATGGGCGCTGAGCTGGGCCCTGAGCCACCAGGAGACACATGCAGTCCCAGCCCTCAGGAGCTGTGATGGGAGGTGGCCAGAGAGGGCAAACACAACACAAACACAAGGACAATGGCAGCGGTGGCCCATCCCACAGGGGCACTCTGGTCCCCTCTTGCTCCTCCCACCCTCACTTTCTTCCCTCTGAAGTCCTCCATCTGCGGAAGGGACCACTGACGTCACCGAGCTCCGCTCCCGGGCACCAGCCCTACCTTGATGCCCGCGTTCCTCAGCGTCTCCAGCGTGGGCCGCACATCGGCCTGCAGCTGGTCCTCCACGCCGGTCAGGCACAGCAGCTCCATCTCCATCTCCAGGCTCTCGATCACGGTGGCCACTTTGAGGGAGCGGTCATGCACGCTCAGCTTGGCCTGGACGTAGCGGGCCTGGCACACCAACAAGTCTCCGCTTAGGGTGGGGAGGGCGCGGCCCACCCCGCCCCTGGCACGCTGGCTCTGTGCCGGGCACCAGGGGTCCAGCAGGGAGCAAGACCAGGACCCCGGACTCCAACAGGGAGCAAGACCAGACATGCAGGGGAGGGGAGGAGCAGGCCACAGCCTCATTCAACTCCCAACCTCCACTGCAGCCTAAAGAACTCGCGCTCTAATAGCGCCACCTGTTCCCAGTGTTCCGAAGTCACGTCACACGCCTGCGTAAGCCAGCCTGATCAGGTCCCCGGCCCCAGAAAGAGTTTGTTCCAGAGGCAGATGGATGAAGTGAATGTTAATAGACATGAACAGGGGGCTGGGGGGTGGCTCAGTGGTAGAGCGCTTGTCTAGCACATGCGAGGTGCTGGGTTCCATCCTCAGCACTGCATATAAATAAGTAAATAAAATAAAGGTCCTTGAACACTAATAAAAATATTAAAAAAAAAAAAGACCTGAACAGGGAAGTTACATGGGTGATGGGTCAAAAGCGACGAGGTGGAGCTGCCTTAGACAGCCGGTCCAGGAAGGCTTCCTGGAGGAAGCAGCATCTGAGCTGAGACCCAAATGAAGCCAGGGAGTTCTGTGGGGCGAGAGAGCTCGAGGCAGAGAGGAGAGCAAGTGTCAGGTGACAGCGCAGTGGGGAAGCGGGGGGCTCAGAAAGGACGTCAGGGCAGCTGGGAGTGAGCAAGGAGGCCCCAGAGGGAGGTGTGACGGGAGGTGGGCGGGGCTGCAGGGACAAGGAACGCACCTCAAAGTCCTGATACTGCTCCTCCGCTAGCGACTTCTTGGCCACCACCAGCACCCGCAGCCCCTCCCGGGCCATGTTGCCGCACTGCAAAGCAGACAGAGGTCAGCAGGGGCTGTGCTGGGCCCTGGCCACCAAAGTGCCCTGTGTTCCTTCCAAAGGGGACAGGGGAAAAGAAAACTGCTTTCCCCAAGTGACGGTCCCCAAAGCCAAGCTTCGTGGGGAGGCTGCAGAGGGGCGGCCCACAGGTCAACCGCGGCTCCCTCGCAGGCTTTCTGTGACGGGCACGGCATGTTTCAAAACTCGAGTCGCCAGGGAGTGCTGGCTGCTGGAGAACCAAACAGCTCACTAACCCGGGCACACTTTCCCAGATAACCACTGGCTGTACAGTGGCTGCTCCCGTGGGCCCCCCAAAACACGCAGTCAGGTGAAGACCACTCCGTGGGTTCCACGTGCCGAGCACAACCCTATCTGAGAAACACACCAGGCCCGGGTGGTTTGTCCGTGGGACTGGCCGGCCGAGTGGCACTGGTGTGCAGTGCCTACGTGGAATGATGATGTCACTGGACGTGACACAGGGAGTTCCCCTGGAGCTGAGAGAAAACACAGGTGGCCCGGCAGACCTGAGCCTCCTCCCGCTTCTGGCCAACGCCCACCTCACCAAGTGGGGCCTGTGGCCCCCAGTGACCCCACGTCCTGGAACTCATGCCCGGAAGTCACCTGCCCCTAGGCTGTGAGCTGGGCCTGTGATGTGCTCCTGGCAGAAGGTAGCAAGAATGGGGGGTGTCACTTGTGGGATTAGGTGCCACAGACGGTGACCCCCAGCTCGCCTGCCCTCGCCTGCTCCCTGGCCTGCTCACTTTGTGAAGCCAGCTGCCAGGCTGCGCACTGCCACAGGGAGAGGCCCGGGCGGTGAGAGACAGGGGGCGGCCACCAGCCACCAGCTGGAGAGACCTGAGGCCTTCAGTCCAGCAGCCAAGAAGCCGAGTGCTACCCCAGCCCTCAGTGAGCCCAGCAGCAGACCCTGCCCGGGTCGAGTCTTCAGAGGAGTTAACAGCCCCCACTGGGTCCCCACTGCAGTCTGCAGGAGCCCCCAGGGCAGAGGCCAGGCCGGGCCACACCCGGGTCCCTGACCCACAGACCCCATGAGCAATAAGTGTGTGCTGTTTCCAGCTGCTAAGTCTCAGGGTGGACGGTCACGCAGCCACAGAGAGCCAAGACAGAGACTGGCCTCCACACTGGGTGCAGCCTCTCCACACACGCTCCCGAGGCCCAGGGTCACTCAGCGCCACGCTCACCTCTTCCTCCAGCCAGTCATTGTACTGGACGATGCCAGCCATGACGACGTCCGCCCCCTTCATGTAGAAGGTGATTTCTCCCGTCGATTCATCCTAGAGGGGGCGGAAAGGAATGAGAGCAGGAAGGACACACTGCTCCCCACCCCACCCCCAGGCCCGCTGCCCACAGTTGGGGGTGGACTGAGCAAGCCGAGAGGATGCCGATGTCTGCCACTTGGACGAAGATAAAAAGCAAGAGGGGCCTCGCTTTGGGGCAAAGGCCACAGAAAATAAAACTCAAAGCGCTTGGGAAATCGTTAAATGATGAAAGCAAGATCAAAAAAGTTAAGACTCCTGTTTTTAAAGTCATTACTACTCCGGGGGAGTGGACGCCCACGCTACTCGACTATTCCATTATTGTAGATCTACACAGGGAACTGCCAGCCGGTCAAACTGCGGTCCAGGGTGCAGCCCGGGGTCCTCAGCTCAGCTCTGCTGACCTGACGGGCTGGATGCTCCGCAGCGGGGCGGCCTGTGTCCTGCAGGGTGGGCGGCAGCACGCCTGGCCCCTACCCACCAGCAGCAGCCCCGTGGGGATGACGAGGAAGGCCTCTAGACATTAGCAAATGTCCCCGGGTGACAAACAGTCTCATCTAGGAACCACACGAGGGGGGCTTTGCTAGGACATGGTGACACAGATCTTCCCGCCTTTCTGATGGCGCCGCTGCCCAGGCAGGAGGGCTGCTGTGTGCGCCTGGGCTTCTCCTCTGTGCCTCGGCTGAGAGTGCTCACTGCAGGGACCATCATGGCCCAAACAAGCCATCCCGCGGGGCACGGGCACCGGCCACATACAGCCCTCCCGTGCCGGTGCTCCTGATGGGACTGCAGCAGGCCCCTGGCCTTGATCAGGTGGCAGCGTACTCTCCACAGGGCACCTGGCGATGTCTAGAGACGCTGGTGGTTGGCACGACTCAGCGAGTGCGGGAGGGGATGGGGTGCGGCTGCTGGACGCCCCACTGGGAGCTCCTGCTTGGAGGCGTGTGGCCCGATGCCACCCCGCTCTCTCCTCCAGGCCTCCAGACGGGGAGGCGGGGCCTGGACAGGGCCACTGACTCCTGTGCCTCAATTTTGCTGCCGGGGAAGCCCAAGACAAATGCCCACAAAAGCCTTCCCTGAGAACGGACGGACGCCCAAAGGCAGAGCAGGGGTGCAGGCCTCCTCTGAACCAGCTTTCCCGCACCCCCCTCCGGACAGCCTTTAGGAACAGCGCTGACTCACCGGGGTCCCCCCAGGCACAAGGCTCTGAACATGAAAGCCCGGGAGGTTCCCTTCCCCTCCACCCAAAGGGCGCTCACCAACATGGCTGCAGGAAACAACGCCCCCCGCCTGGCTTCCTTTACTACACAGAGGCTCCAGAGAGTTGGGGCGCGCTGTCCAACGTAAACACCGAATGGACATCTCCTCTGTGAGTCATTTCCTCCCGCCCAGTTCATCGCCAGTTCACTCCGTTCCCACGTCGTGGCAAAGCCGCGCCGCACACTCAGAGTCGGCTGCCTGTGCCGCACCGCAGTGGGGCTCCTCTTCCCACGTGTCCTCCCCGGCACCTGCTCAAAGCCTCGTTCACCCAGACAATGCCAACAGCACCGGCTCTACCGGCCCAACTCCGTCATTCCACGTGGGAAGCCGGGGACGTGGTGGACATCTTGTACCAACAAAAACCTAACAGGTGACATGACCTTCCTTTGGAAAGACAAGTGTCCCAGAGCCTCCAGTTTCTCCCACCTCCCCTGCCTGCTTAAGGACAGAGCCCTGCAGGGCGAGGACAGGCTCCAGGTTCAGCCTGCCTTCCCACGTCCAGCAGGCAGGGTGCAAGAAGCCGGCAAGAGCAACACTGTGACCGCCCACAGTCGCTAAAGCACGCTGAGAGGTTATACAGGGACCAACACTTCCTCCCATCAGGAATCGGAGAGTCACCGCACACGACAGGCAGGCTGTGTGGCCACATTAGAAGGGGGTGTCTCGGCCTCTGTACAAGTGACGTCCGGAGCCCGGCCGTTCTTCGTTGTGGGGGCGTCCTGTGCACCGGAGGACACGGCATCCCTGGTCTCCACCCACTAGAGGCTGGGGCTGTGACTCCCACAGTGTCTCCAGAGATTGTCAAATGAGCCCAGGGTGAGAATGGCCACATCAGAGGAGCAAAGTGAGATCTGTGCAGTGTAACGCTGATTTCCACCCAAACCAGAGATAAAGACTCAGAAAGTAAGGAAAAATCAGCAAGATAATAGGTACGCCACTGAAGACCGCCTGCCGAGGTGGACGATCACGGTATTATTTTTTTAAGTAGCCAAAAATGAGAAACAACCTAAGCATCCAAAAAAAAGAAAAGAAAAGAAAAGTAAATAGCTGGATGAGGTGGCACACGCCTGTAATCCCAGCAACTCAGGAAGCTGAGGCAGGACGATTCCAAGTTCAAGGCCAGCCTGGGCAACTTAGCAAGGCGCTTCCTCAAAATAAAAAATACAAAGGGCTGGGGACATAGCTGTGAGCCCCTGGGTTCAATTCCCAGTACTGAAGAAAAAAATAAAAAGTGAATGAAATAGCGGTACATTTTCAACAAAGCATCGTGCACACTCTAAAATCAGATTTCAATCATAAAAGAAAATTTCCTTCCTCTGCATGTGTTTCAAAGGGGGGAGGGGAAGCTTGGAAAGACTGATCAAAAGTTCAATGCCAATTTTATAGAAATGTGTGTGAACATTCACAGTCATATATGCTCAGGAAAAAAAAACTGAATGGAGGCGAACCATTCATAGTCCCTTCTCGACATCGTTACCTGTTCTAAACACCTGCACTGTACACGCTGGTTCTAAAAACTCTCAGGCAGTGGGAGCTGCCGTAGGTGAGGCAGACCTGCCACCTGCAGGCACCCCCACTTCCAGCAAGGCCCCTTCTGCCGTGGGGAGACCCAGGGCCATGTGCCACCTCGTGTAGCATGACGTGCGTCTGGAACAAGAGTCCCTTACAACCAAACAAAGGGCGGCGTGTCCCGCTCGCCTGTTCTAAGAGAAGTGGGCGTTGGGGACTCTCCGATGATGATTCAGCCCCTGAATGACCTCAGCAGAGCCCATGGCCCTAGAACTTAAAAAAAAATAATAATGCTGGAATGAAATTGGAGCGATTCTGTAGGAGATAATGACTTGGATTCCTCAGGAAGCCTCACCTACAGGAGTGAGGCTGGGCGCGCTGGGCAGCAGATGTGTGCTCAGGGCAGGCGGGCGTGGGCCAGTGGGAAAGCACAGCTGTGTGGGAGAAGAGCCTCCCCCCACCCCAAAGTTGCCAAGGATCAGGTCCCACACAGTCTGAGAGTCCCCACTGGTACTGGAAATAAAAGTCCCTTAGAATGGGACGTTTCCCATCACGTCCACACCGTGCGTCTCTGGATCATCAGCTCAGGCAGAGAGCGCCTGTGTCCCCCCACAGTGCCGAGGCAGGGGCCTCTACGGCAGTGCCCAGTGTCCTCCACTCCTGGTATTCACGCCTCGCTGGTCACCGCCTCAGGACAGGTTAGACCTAGGAACTTGCTTGTGATCCTGGACGAAGGCTAAGGCATTGGACGTCACTTCTGATGCTGGGTTGCAGGCAGAGGTATCTCCCTGCTTGTCCACGTTCCCAGCTGCTCGCCCTGATGGACAGCTGGCTGGGCATGAGCTGAGGGCGGTCCCTGGTTCCCAGTCAGTGAAGAGCTAGGCCTCAGTCTACCCACCCGCGGGGATCTGAATCCTGACAACATCGATCCCGTCAGCAAGACCTTAGAGCGAGTGGCCCTGGCCAGCCCCTTGACCGCTCACAGATCCTGACCAGAGGACCCAGCTAAGCTACTCCCGGCTGCCCGGCCCACAGAGACTAGCAGGGACTGCACAGGTCATTGTTTCAACCCACTGAAGGTGGTGTCACCTGCAAGGCAGCAATGCCTAACTGACCCAACAAGGCTGCAGGTGCCCCTGAGCTTTGGGGCCCACCTCCTGGCACACCCTAGCCCTGGGTCCTAGAGGAAAAGAGCACCAGCTTGAGCCAGACGGCCTGGGCTTGGATCCCTGCTGGCATGGTCCGGCTGTGTGACCTCGGGTGGCTCCTCAGCCCTCCACACCTCAGCTTCCTGCTCTGTCGCCCCTCAGTCATAAATGGTGCCTGTTTCGCTACACTACGGTGAGAAGCAAGTGAGGCAGCTTACCATGCACATCACTCAGAACAGCCACCGGTGCACAGCAAGCCTTGGTTAACTGTCACCCCACATTATTACTGGTGACCCTCCCACTGTCACTACTGCTGTGGCTACATACCTCTCCTGCCATTGACCCCAGGCTCTCAGCCACCTTGGAACTGACCATGAAGACTGTTGGGAGCATAAGTGGGCTAGAAAGAGCTGAGCTGTTTTATTTGCTTTGTTTTGTTTTAAATATCCTTTTCGAAAGCTTCCCGGATCACCCCGCAAAAAACAAGTGGGGCTGCACGCTTATATGTCTGCCCTGCCCTGCGCATGTGCTGTGTGTCAATGGAAAGTAGGTTAAAAATCTAAAATAGTACAGAAAATGACACTGCTGACTGGTCACCATTCTTCCCACTCTGTGACCACATGAACTAAAAAACACAGGGGTCATTCACAACCAGGGTGCCAAGAGCAGTCGGAGGAAATCACAGTCTCTTTGGCAAATGGTTCTGGGACAACTGGATATTCACATGCAAAAGAGTGAAGCCCCTACCTCACACCATGTGTAAAAGTTAACTCAAAATGGACTCCAATGACCCAATAAGCTAAAATTGTAAAATTCCCCAAAGAAAACACAGGGGTGAATCTTCACGACTTTGGAGTTGGCAATGGATTCTTAGATGTGACACCAAAGCCAACAGCAGCAACCAGAACAGATAAACTCAACTTCATGGAGATTGGAAACTTTGGTGCATAAAAGGACATTATAATAAAGTGAAAAGACAACCTATAAAAGGAAAGATTTGCAAATTATATATCTTATAAAGGTCTAATACCCAGAATATATAAAGAACCCTTAGAAAATCAACAAGAGGACAACCCAACTAAAAACTAGGCAAAAGACTTGAAAAGACATTCTTGGAAGATACAGATATGGCCATAAACTCATGAAAAGGTGCTCAGTGCCATTAATCATTAGGAAGATGCAGATCAAAACCATGATGCAATACCTCTGCATAACCCTAAGGACGGCCATAATCAAAACACATTAAAAATTTTAAGTAACAAGTGCCGGCAAGAATGTGAAGAAAATGGAAACTTAATATATTGCTGGTGGGAAAATAAATCGGTACAACATTTTAGAAAATAATTTGGCAATTCCTCAGAAGACTGAAGAGAGAGTTACCCAGCCACCAGGTAACCGACCTGCCTGACTCCATAGTGTCAATCCCCAAACCCCCAAACAGGCTCTCAAATTCTTGTCCCTGAACAATCCCAGCAGCACCATTCACAACGGCCAGTGGGTCAAACAACTCGAAAGTCCATCAGTGGGTGGACACATTAGAAAATATGGTACAGGTCATGCACCCCTCACCCAAAACAAATGCTCCCAACCCCAAAATTTGTTGAGCACCAACATGACACTGCAAGTGGAAAATTCCACAAGTGTCCTGAGGCAAGTTGTGATCAAACACAAGTGCACTGGAAACACTGTAGAAAATGACCTGGGCCTACGTGTGCAAGGTGCATAGGAAACAGATGAATTTCACACTTAGACCCAAGGCTCCCCTCCAGGGTGTCTCGTTACCTCCCTGCAAATATTCCAAAATCCAAGAAAAAAAACCCTGAAATCCAAAACCCTCTGGTCTCAGCGTTTAGGATAAGGACAGTATCCACCCGATCATGCGGCGATGGAATACGGTCAGCCGAAAGGAGAAGTGAAACCGGACACACGCCTCGGCAGGGGCCACCTGGGAAACACGCTCCAGGAAAGAAGCCTGCGACCACAGGCCACGGCGACCACAGGCCACGGCGACCGATTCCATTCACATGAAACGCCAGGAACAGGTAAGTCCCCAGGACAGAAAGCAGACCGGTGGCTGCCAGGAGCCGGGGTGGGCGAGGGGCTGCTTTTGTCGATGATGAAGATTTGACACATTCTGAGACCTGACCACGTTGGGGACCTATGTAACATCAGGAAGGTCTAAACACCACGGAATCGCTCACTTTAAGATGGCTCTCTGAGTCGAACTTCAACCGTGTGTATTTAATTAAACAAAAGAGAACGAATCACATGTAACCAGGAACTGCCCACCTACGGGCATCGGAACCTCGGTTCCCTGCAGCCCGGCAGGGCTGAGCGGAGGCCTGGTGTGGGCCCCCATGAACTGGACCTCTTTCTGCTCAGGAAGACACCTTCCCGTGTGGGTCTGGGCGGCAGACACCACCCTGAGGAGGGCTAGAAAGGCCTTGGGGACACGGGGTGTGCGGGGCAGGACTCACCCTGACGATGATGCCCATGCGCTTGCTCTCGTAGGTGAAGGGGAAGATCTGCAGGATGGTGAAGTTCAGGATCTGGTCGCCAGGGGTCCTCAGCTGCATGGAAGACTGGTCTCGGCCCACCAGGGTCAAGCCCACGCTCTCCGTCCACTGGACCAGGGCCACCTAAACACGAAGACACACACACATGTGAACACTCAGGCACAAGGAAGAGCAGGGACAGATGACGGACACGCAGTCACTGCACCTGGGGACAGCAAGGGCCTCAGCCCAAAGGGGTGCCGCCCATGACAGTGTCTGTACCAGGGGGTCTGCGGGGGCCCATGCTCACAGTTGCCCCTCTGGAAGCTCACGTGGTCCTTCAGACCCCAAAGCAGGCTGCACACCACAGGCACGGCCTTGAGGGACCACACCAGCTCTCTGGAAGAATCTGCGCCAAGCCCAACAAGCCCCAGGAGGGCCAGGCGCTGTGGCACTTCAGCCCGTGCCCTCCCTGGGGAGGATCGACAGGGTTCTCAGCAGGGCATGGCTGCTGCCAGGGGACGTGGCTATCGTAACTGGGAAGGGGTGCTTGTGGCCAGAGAGGCAGGTCACAACAACCTGCAGGGCACAGGATGGGACCACAGCAGGTCACACAGTAGGGAGTCGATGGCAGGAGGCTGGGAGAACTAGTCCCCACAGACGAGGACACCAAGATGAGTAGCCCAAGGTGACGGGAGCAGAGAAGTGGCAGAGGCCAGGCCAGGCGAGCCCTGGACCTGCCTGTGGCAAAGTCCCCCCACTACGACACTCTGTTCCTAGTGGGGCCTTGACACAGCCTCAGCCAGGCGGCCCTGAGGGCCAGAGGCAGAGTCACAAACCCCAGAGCACAGCCAGAAGACCGCGTCCTGCAGATGAGCGGAGAGGCCAGGCCAACAGGATCCCAGCCCAAGGGGGCAGCTGCCTCTGTGTCACACTGGTGGAGCAGGCAGCCCTGCGGGAATGTGGCCCAGGATGGCCCGAGCTTCCAGTTTCTCAAGAAAAACCTGAGATCTGGACTCGTCCTGAGATGTCCTGACATTCAAATGTAAGCAACTGGTTTTCATGTCTTGAAAGTCCATGAAGAAATTAAAACACGTCTGCTGAGCACCCCTGGGGTCTCCCGGAGAAGGAGGAGAGGGGAGAGGAAAGGGAGGAGGAGGGGGTGGGGAGGGGCCGGAGGTGGCAGGCCCCCTGCACGGGAGGGAGGCCACGGCGGGTGGGCAGGCGGACAAGGATGAACAGCCCACTGTATGCAGAGGAGACCCAGAAGAGGGGGACCCTGCTCACTCCTGGGAGGCGGGAAGGGCCAGCTCCGTGGTGAGAGGGATCGAGAGACCCAGCAGGCCAGGGGCGCCGACCTGGGCCGGCCGCTGTGATGGGCTGAGACAGGACCCTCTGCGAGGTCTAGCTGAGCCTGACGAGACCACAGGAGAGTGCCAATCCTGGGACGTCCAGATCTCGCAGGCCTGCACTGGGTTCCGGGCCCCTAACACACGTCCCCAGTGGGGCCACCCCAGCCCACGGTCACCACTGGAAGGTTGATGGGAGGTACAGTGGCAGAAGAATGGCCCCAAAGCAGCCCTGGTCCCCAGAATCTGTGAAAGTGACCTCCCAGGACTTTGCAGATGTGACCAGGAGGAGGCCCTGAGAGGGTGGGATCACCCCAGGGGACCCATGTGATCCCATGAGTCCTGCAGGGGAGCCCTTTGGGTCTGTGGCCAGAGATGTGAGAGGAGGAGGTCAGAGAGCGGGGACACCACGGATCTTGCAGAGGGAAGAAGGAGCCATCAATCAGGAATGTGGACAGACTGGGGAGCCCCAGGAGGAAGGACTCGACCACCCCAGAGCCCACAGCAGCAACGTGGCCCTGTGAACACCCTGATCCCATCCCTGGGAGACTCCTGTGGACCTCTGACCTACGGCTGAGAGAGAGCAGCTTTGCTTCATTTTAAAATGTCACTTGTTACCACAGCAACAGGAAACAAGCAGAGGACGGCTTCTAATGTTTAACCAAAGGAGCCGTCTTTGTATTCAGATCTAAGCCCTAAAACACGTGGTGTCTTTAAAAAAGAAAAAAAAAAAAAAAAGTATCTCCTGCCACTTTCTTCTTATAATTTAATCTTTAGGGGAAAAATAAAAAGGCAGGTGTTTGGAGAGGGTTGAGCTGGGAAAGAGGCTATTCCGGAGGCCTTGATCACAGGGGAGATTTAATAAGCCCGTCGTGAATTGAACACGTCCTAAGTGAAGCTGTGTGTGTGGCACACACCCGTAATCCAAGCAAATCAGGAGGCTGAGGCAGGAGGATTGCTGGTTTGAGGCCAGCCTAGGCAACTTAGTGAGATCCTACCTCAAAATAAAATTGAAACAATAAATAAATAAAAGGGGGGCTGGGAACGTAGCTCAGTAGTTCACCTCTGGGTATGATCCTAATACCAGGAAAAAAAAAAAAGACAAAAGAAAACCTGGTAGGTGGGAAGTACACTCAATACCTAACTCACCACCCACCTGGCTGGGCCACCCAGGCGCCAGGGTGTGGGTCATCTCCTCTTGTGACTGGGAGCTGCACCCCAGCCGCTGCCCAGGACTGGACCGCACAAAGCTGGTCGGGAAGAGAGCAAAACTTCAAAATGAAGTGCAGAGTGCATGGACCACGTGACACCAAGTAGCTGAAAGCCGTGAGCCCGCTCTCGCAGGTCAGGGACGCCTCTGTGTAACGTTCCCGGGCCTGAAACAGTCCTGGCCCTCGCCTCTGCGCTGCTGGGAGGCAGAGAGGGTCGCTTCTCCCTGGGATGGCCTACCCCCCAGCACTGTCCCCCTCCAGCACGGTGTCCCTTTCACCAAGGGAGCCCTGTGGAAGCCCTGGGAGAGGGCCGCCCCCAGCTCCCTGTTTCTGGAACCCCTGGGACTCGTGTGGGCCGACCCGCTGCACCTCAAGGACCTAAGCTGGAGCTCACAACAGGCCCCAGCCCCACCACCACTGTCCCCCCTGCCCCGACCAGGCCTCTGCTCCCCACGGCCTGTCCTTCCCACGGCCCAGGCTGGCTGCACTCGGATCTTTGGTTTTGCTTCTGTTGCTGACATCGAGGGCGCTCACATAGCAGGAAGTTAATTTCAAGACTTTTCCATCTTATTTAAGAGTGAACTAACTGGGATTAAATAGCTTTCAATTTTGACCCATAGACGATGCCATTATACCTACCTCCACCTTTCAGAGAAAGGTCTAATCAGGTCTCTCTCTCCTTTTCACCTTTCTTTTTGCTACTGCTCTGCATAAGCCTTTGAAGCCCTGTTTGCCGACTGCTCACCTAGCAACGGATCCCCCAGGCCGGTGCAAGAGGAAATGCTGAGTTACAGGTCCGAACACTCAAAACAGACAAATGTCCCTGAGGAAGAGTGGTTAGAACTGTATGCAACTTTTAAAAAATATATATTTATTTTTTAGTTGTAGATGGACACAACACCTTTATTTTATTTACTTACTTTTATGTGGTGCTGAGGCTCAAACCCAGGGCCTCGCACGTGCTAGGCGAGTGCTCTACCGCTGAGCCACAGCCCAGCCCCTGTATGTACTTTTAACCATGCTTTCTTCCAGAGCAAGCCCCTCAATGGAGTTAGGGAACCTCGGTGCCCCCTCCAGATCCTCTCCTGAGCCCGGCAGGGGGCAGTTCACTCCCCACTTCCTGCTCCCAACTGCAACACGGTCAGTGTTCATTTAAACCCACTCTCTAACCAAACACACAAAGCCCCCAGAGCCCTGGGGGGTAAGACGGGGTACTCAGTGGAGCTGAGGGGCTCACGGGGATCATCCCACAGCACATGACGGGGAAGACTTCAGGGCCTTGAGCCTGGGTCAGGGTCTCGCGGGGCCTCAGGACAGAACTGGGGGTCAGAGCAGCAGCAGGCACAGCAGCTTCTGTACCATGAACGGCGCAGGAATCCGCGAGATGGGAACGAGACCAGGAACTGGATCAGAGCCCGGGTGGAGGACCTCATGTGGGCCTCTGCTGTGTCTTCTGCTCTGGGTACAAGGAGGACGTGAAAGGGCAGAGCTCACTGCTCTCCCTCCTTACATGCCATCTCAAGAACTTGGGCCAGAAGCCACCTGTGAAAGGGCTTTTCATCATCTGTGGTTGGCAATGGACCACCCGGGACAAGATTCACTGATTTTTCTCTGAGCCTGGGGGGAGCGCACTGGGCAGCCTTGCACTCCTGTCAGAAGCAGGGTATGCACTTGTTGCAGGAGCACGTAAGAGACTCGAGTCTGACGTCTGACTCAAGGGCTCTCTGGTGACTTCGACAGGACAGACACTCAGACACACGGAGGAGCCAGGTGGTCCTCGTCCAGCCTCAGTTCCCTAACTCCATAAATCTACCCACGGGTCTAAGGATTTCTTTCCTTAATAAGGAAACACGTTCGACCATGTGCTGGACGGTGGCTGCAGGTTCAGACACCCACAGGGATGAGCAGGTGGCAGACAGGATCGGGGCAGGCACAGGGCCGGGGTAAACTGAGGCGGCAGACATCCAGCAGTGGACACCCAGCAGCGAAGTCAACCACTACCAGGTGGAAGATGGGCCACTATTTCCCCATCTGACCTGTCCCAAGAGGAGCTATTTTTTTAAAGAAATACATACAGTGATTTCAAATCACTGCTTGAAGGAAAGGTCTTAAAGACACCACAGAGCAAACAAAAACAGACTGCTCAGGTGAGGTGGCAGGGGAGGTGACAGCAGAGGCAAGGCCACCTGGGCCCAAGTCTCCCGTACCTGAAAGCCGCCTCTCAGCTCTGATAAATGATACTTGGAAAGAAAGGATGGCGTCGTCGCCACAGACATCTCGTTATTCAGAAATGACTCTGCTTAAGTCACTGGGATGAGACCTGCATCCCAGACCCATGGGTGACCTAATATCCAGGGTGACTTAACTGACGGTTTTCCTACAATGTCCCCCAAACACTTGCGGTCCTGCTTCAAACAGCCCCACTCCCTTGTGACCAACCAGAACCCCGCGCCAAGCTCCTGCCTGGGCGGTCACCACCACCTCCGCTCAGGGTCTCCAAGTCCCGACCTCTGTTCTCTGAGCCACAGCGGCACGGCCCTGAGAGGGCGCAGCCCACCTCTGCCCTGAATCCTTCTCACTCAAC